CCTTCATGTATCACGTAAGATACCTACCATCTTCACCCTCTCTCTCTCTCTCTCTCTCTCTCTCTCTCTCTCTCTCTCTCTCTCTCTCTCTGTGTGTGTGTGTGGGTTGGTTTATCGAAGTTCCGAGGCGTAGGGTCATGATGGCAGTGTCTAAAATGACAGTCATTATAGTTGCATTTTGGGCAACTGTCATTGTACACACGGCCATCATGACCGTACGTTTCAGAACTTTGATAAACCTACCGCGGGCAAGAGAGAGAGAGAGAGAGAGAGAGAGGGCTGGAACGTTGTACAGTCCACCAACCAGCCATAGGCGCGCAGCGCCATCAGAACACCCCTCTCCTCCTTCATCATCTTCTTCCATAGATCTTAACCTTCGGATGAGGCGAGATACTGACTTGCAAGAGMCAAAGCCCGCCCCCTGATTTTCGTCCCAGACTTCTTCTTTCCCACCTTTGCATTCATCGAGGTCGCCGTTGCCCTCGTCGTTGACTCAGACTGTCCGCCACTAACATCCTTTCGTTTGTCGGAAGAGGGAGCCGGCCCTGCATCTGGAAAAGCAGTAGAAGATGTGGCAGTTGTGGACGACTTGGCAGCAGACGCCCTCTTGGCAGCAGATGCCGTGACAGCAGCTGATGAGGCAGCAGATGGTGACATAGCAGCAAATGGCTTGGTAGCAAATGGATTGGCGGCAGATGACGTGGCATAAGATGACATGGCAGCAGACGACGTAGCAGCAAATGGCGTAGTAGCAAATGGCTTGGTGGCAAATGGACTGCCAGCAGATGACGTAGCAGAAGATGACATGGCAGCAGATGACATAGCAGCAAATGGCTTGGCAGCAAATGGTACCGGTAGGGGCATCTCGAAAATTTTCCTGCTGGCTTTTAACGGCCATCCGGTAGGGGCATCCCCGCAAATTAGGGACCGGTAGGGCATCCCGGAAATTAGGGACCGGTAGGGCATCCCGCAAATTAGGGACAGGTACTGGTAGCGGCGTAACAAAAAGATTTGAGGCCCAAACGACACCGAGGTCTTATGGAAAATTTGAACCCTGCTCAGAGGGGCGCGACAGGGTAAATCGGCCGTTGGAGGGGCGCGACGCAAAATAACGCAAATGACAGGGGCGCCAGACAAATTTTCCCAAAAAAAAAACATATCCCTTCAGACGTCACTGTCGAGCATGTACCACTTCGCCTGCCAATTCCAGAGACCGTGGGGGTGCAGGCCCTACCTAACAGGTGCCAGGTCCCACTTACCAGCGGCCAGGTCCCGGTTACCGCGGCTCCAGTCCCACTTACCGGGGAGGATCCAGGGGCTAGGTCCCACTTACACGAATTAAGCGATATTGACCTTAGATCGCAAAGATCAACGGCCAGATTCTCGTAATCCGTGCAAGTGGGACCTTGTCCCAGGTCCCACTTACCAGACAGGGTCCAGGTTCCACACATTTCCGAGAAGTTTCTGCAAGGCCCATGAAATTTTGTTGAGGATGGTAGAATAGGAATTGACGTAAAAGTTTGTGCGCCGTAGAACTTGCGCGCGGAATTTTCTTTCTAACTTTTCAATTTCAATTCGGCTTTAGGAATTAGGTGCAGCTTTATTGGCATTTTGCGTAACTGTTTTGGTGCCTTTTTCATTTTGCACGCATGCTTCCTTCTGCGCCACATTCTTCCAGGCAATCTTTCCTCGCTCTCTCTACCCCTTTCTTCGCGCCATCATCGACAAGCTGTTATTGTCTTCTTCTTCTCCCTGCCTTCGTGCTCTTTCTTTCGTCTTGCTTCCGTTGAATCTTGGCATTGTTCTGTACTGCTTCCCGTAACCTCCTTTCCCGCTTCGTCTACACGTAGGAAGGTCATGTTGACCCCTCGAGTAATCGTAGAAGTTGGACAGCAGCGTGTAAGGAGGCTCTGAACTCTTCACACTATAATCCGATTGGCTACAAAGTACTCCACTCGGATCAACATGACCCTCCCGTGTGGCTCTCCCCCTTGCTTCTCTCCCCTTTTCCATCCTTCATCATTCTCTCTCCCTTCTTTTCGCAATTATAAATCTTACAAGTGGATCGTTTTTACTCTCTCACAGTACATCGGCCAACTTTGGTGGAGTAGTGGCTAGACAAGGTGGTGATCAGCGAGTTGGAAAGTCCTGACAAGTTGGCTGCAATTTCACGGAATTGTGCGTTGGATCAGTGCGACGGACTGCGGGATCGGGGCGAATCCGCGTAGCAGTTGAGTGGACGGGGTGATGATCGTTGGGGCTTAGCGATGGGTACGTGGCGTCCGGGATCGCCAGTGCTCAAGCGAGGTGAGGTGTGTTCATGGTTGGTTGGATGGTCTAGGGCCATAACTCGAGCAAAAGGCTTTGCGCCTTGCCCCTTCTTCTTCCTATCTTTAGAGTTAAGTTGCATCGAAAGATACCAGTTTTCTTTTCCCGTGGAGCGACTGTATATTCTCTTGCATGGAAAACGAGTATCAACAATAACAAAACCCGAATTGACAAACCCAGAAAACCGCATCTCGCAAGGGAAATAATAGGGGCCGTCAATCTTGGCTACGACTTCTCGTACGTCCCACCCCCAGACACGTGTCTTATCCTCTTTGTACGGGAAAGGTCGGGGGGAGGACGTTCGAGAAGTCGGTGCCCCGATGGCTCCTCCGGCTCAGTCCACATGGCCAGTACACACTCATCCATCATTCACAAAACAGGGGGATCATATTTCCTTAGATTCAGGAATCTCCTTCGCAGAGGAAATCAGGCAATACGATGTGACTTTCACGCCTGATGTTCCTGCACAAAGGAGGATTACCCAAGAAGCTAAGGGACGAGTTCAGGAAGAAGTTTCCCAACAGGCAATCACGGGTTCTTCACAAAGATAAGTCCAAAACAGAGGCAAGGTCCGGGTGTCGACAACAAGAATACTCAGATTTTCACATGGGATGATTATTCCCTTTCACAGCAACAAGAAGAGCAAAGATCTTCACATTCAACCAAAATGAAGATGAAAGGAAGCGAAGGCAAAAATGTTAGGCACCTGGAGGGTAGTCCTTGGGAAGGACTCATTCATGCTTTTCCCACTTTGTTCGTCGCTCCATATCTGGGACCACATGAGAGATTGCTGTATTGTCTGTGTCTCTCCTCAAAAAATTTGGCACACCCCATTTTTGCCGCTTTCCAGGCCGCTCTCTGCGATTTCGTCACTCCGACGGGAAACTTCTGCAGGGCGTCAGGTTTCGAGTGTCAAATCAGCACTTTGAAGTCTATAGAACAATTGGTTAGTTGTGCTCGATAAACTAGTAGGTTTATAAGCACATTGAGACTGTGGACAAATTCCTTCAGCGTGCTTTTTTTTTAACTTAGCATGATATTTAAGCGCTAAGGTCAATGCACAAGTTTCTCATGCATCGACCATAACGATGATCGACGGTTCATCAACAGTAATTCAGAGTATTCTCAGAGTTTCTCGGATTGGAGAATTCTCGGATGTCCGGCCTCTTGATGTTGTTATTTGGGAAAAGTCAGCGATTCGGCCCACGGAAAAACCTTGGTAGTTTTTCCGCCCCAAAATGGACACGCCGCATTGGAGGTACCTAAAGAAAGTTTTCCACAATTCTTTCCACCGCGGGGAATACTCTCATACTCCCATGCGACATCCATGTAATACATGTACTCAGAGACGCTGGACCCGTTTTCCAGCAGGTGATGCTCCCTGGGCCTGAGGGTGAGGGGATAGTTGGACGATGGAACCAAGATTTTTGACCCATGACATAGGGGCTCATCACACCGTAACATGAAATGAAACAAAAATGGCAGTTAGGTTTGTTTCATCACTAAAAAAAAAAGAAAAAAAAAAGGTTTGTTTCATCACTGCCACACGGGCTCGCAAATTTCTGTCATGAAAAAAGAGTCGCCAGGTACCAGACTATTGCCTTCCTGTGAACTCGTGTGAAAACAACTGCACGCTGGCGTTTATCGCGGGTGCGCGAAGCTGCCCTCCGAGCACCCATGGAAATTCACAACTCACCCGTATCCATTCAAACCGGTCCAGAGAGCACCGAGTAGGCCTACACAGGGGATGATACGAGCAGGCCCCCCGAGTAGGCCTATACAGGGGATGATACGAGCAGGCCCCCCGAGTAGGCCTATTGTTGGCCACTTCATCTACTGGTGGGGAGCATCACCTGCTGGAAAACGGGTCCAGCGTCCCTTTCGTACTCCCGAGCGTTATATTCGAATAGAGCATGAACAATTCATGAGAGTAATTGACTGAGTTTCAACTAGTCTTCCTGTGAGCCAGAGAATGCAGGCAGCACCTCTTCACCCCTCTGTGGGGCGCCAGATATGTACCCCCAAAGCAAGTGCTATGTAATCGAAGCAAGATGAAATGCACTGGTGGCTCAATCATGAAAGAACGGAGGTTGGGAATCTTCACAGACAGCTCAGAAGACGTAAGTACGTTCATGTCACGTTTGAGTAGCATCGAAAATGCAAAAATAAATACGCACCGGCTAATAAACCGCAGGCGCAGGCGCGGAGTTTGAAAAAGCAATGAAAGTATCAACGGCCGTGGTGTCAGGCCACGTGCAGTTTTTTTTTTTTTTTTTTTTTTCAGGTGCAGTTTTTAAAGGGGTCGGCCGTGGTGTCAGATGGTGAAAGAAAAGAGAGAAAAAAAAAAGCCCAACAGATACTTTTCGAGAAATTTTGACCCAAATTGCCGTTTGTGGCGCTTGTTTTTCTTTCCCATTTCCGGACTCAAAACCTGCCGCACCCCTTTCTGGACTCAAAACCTGCCGCACCCACCGTCTTTTCAAAAAAACAATCTCCCTGACATAATCATCAAGATTGAGAAAATATCAAATCCATAACATTCCCAACATCGACTTTCCAGTGTGGTTATACCAACGGCCATGGCTCAGTTGGTACACCCATCACTCATGAACTGTTGAAAATACAAATACCTTGAGGAAAGGCGTTCATCTGGACAACCAAATGGCCCATTACTCAGGCTGTGGGTGACTGTCATCAGTCTAGTATCCCATGTCTACAACGACCTGGGCGTTTCATCACTGTTAGAGTTATGACGAGCGATGGAACTACATAGGGCGGAAATTGGCAAACACACCACTGAGCAGAGCAGCATTGGTCCATCTTGTGTGTGTGCATGTGTGTAGAGAG